TTATATATCTGTACAAATTCTTCAAGTAATGACTCCAAATTCTCTGTACCTGGAGTGAATTACGAGTCTTGATATCTATTTCCAGGCATTCATGAGTGAATAAACAGAAGCTAGAAGGTTGGATTATGAATTGTGTGGTTCCGTAAATCAATGAACTTTTGGCATCAGTGGCATATATCAATAACAATCGAATGCTAAAAAAAAATAAAAATAGCAGACTCAAAAACTTTTATGTTTGATAATGAACTTCTTGCACTCATATGACCTCTTGGCATCACAACAGCAGTAGAATATTTAATAAACCAGGGGAAGAAACGGGTCAAGTGGGGTGGAGGGAGGGATGGACTGTGAATACTAGAAGCCACTTAAAATAGACTAATTATTCCAACGAATTCTTTATGAAACAAGCAGTTAATTAATTGGGAGGGGCAGTGTATAGTGAGATGGAATTGCGGGGAATTTTTGTGGATTTGTGTGTTTGGGGCTTTTAGTAGCTGTTCCCACAGACGGCGCCAATGATAATGTCAAAATTCGTACCTGGGCCAACCCGAACTGGATGGAAGAGCTCCGCTTGATCCGATCTTCAATATTTGAAATAAAGGAGTCGGGGTGTGTCCCCATCGCTCCTCTGATGCTTAAGTCTGACAAGTGCGCAAGAAGAAATATGTTGGAATGTTATGAAAAAACACACATGAATAATGAGGCTGGGTTATGTATTTATAGATGTTGGAGAGGGAGTAGGACTTAACTTCCTCTAATTCTTGTTATTTTATGTGTTTGTATTGTGTTAGAAGTGCACAATTTTTGTTAGGATAAAATTTGTAACGAAATTGGGGTTTGCACTTAAGTAGAACTAGTATTCCTAGGCCCGACCTCANAAGGTCACAGATCTATGCAATTTGGTCACAATTCAAAAAATTTAAAGTCACAATTCAAAAATTTTATAGGTTCACAATTCAAAAATTTTAAGGTCACAATTCAAAAATTTTATAGGTCACGGTTCGTTCATCGGTCACAAATTAAAAATTTAAAAGCCACAATTGTTCAAAGGTCACGAATCACAAAATTTATAAGTAACAAAACTTATTTTATAGTCACAGAATATCAAATTATAGGTCACATATTACTTTTATTGGTCACAAATTAATAAATTTGTAGGTCACAAATTATTTGTAGGTCACAATTTATTATTTATTGATACACACCAACCAATTTATTGGTCACAATCAACAAATCATTTGTGACCACCACCAACAAACCACCACTGTCGTCTCCGCCGCCAACACCAACACCACCACTTCCCAGCAACAAAATCACAGTTTCAAAAATCACAGCCAACATTTTCACCACCACCACTACACCAAACCGTTAACACCACCACCACCACCGTCCCACCACCACCTTCACTGCGCCGCAGCCTGATCCATCACCAGATCTAACATAATCGTCGCTACCCAAGCACCACCACAACCACAGCCTCCATCCACAACTGAACAAACAACTCAAACCTTCAACACCACGACCAAACATAATCGTCACTACCCAAACACCACCACCACCACCACCACCACAGTCCCTATCCACAATTGAAAACACAGCCCAAACCGACAACACCACGACCATCGCCACACGCACGCACTCACATCGCCCGCAACCACACCCACATCAACATCGCACAACTCTACTGCACCACTAAAAAAAAATGTCAATCGCCGATCTACAGCACCAGCCACTTGCCCATCTTCTCTGGCCGATCTGCAGCACTAAACAACTTTTCCATCGCCCCCATAGATAAAATGTCCATCGCTGCAGCCGCGACATCGTCATGGTGGTCCAACGATTTAAAGAAGAAGAGAGGCGGTGGTGTGCTGGCGAGGTGGTGCCTGTGGTGATGGTGCCGGCGGGTGGTGTCGAGAGGGATAGAGAGATAGAGTGGGGGAAAAATGGGTGATCGGGAGGGAGAGAGTGGGGAAGAGGAAATTAATTAATTAGGGTTGAAATTTTGTATGATTAATTTAAATAAAAATTAATTTAAAAATTATTAGTTAAAACCTGATTTATGTATTATTAAAGATGATTTTGGATTTATGAAAATGGTAACTTAAAAACCATTGTGGGTGTAATTTCCTCTTATATTTAAGTAGAACTAGTATTTTTAGGCCCAACCTCATAATGGACTCGAACTCGGAATTAGCCCAGTTGGAGTGGGCCAAGTCGGGCCTACTAGCTCAAGTTCAGGTCAAGTAGCTCGAGCTTGGGCCTATCAATATTTTTCTGTATCAGTCATATTCTTCAATTTAGCTACTTCAATCATTCTTCTTGATTTCTTCAATCATTGTTTAATTATGGGTTTTTAATATTTATCTTCAATATCTTTTCTCTTGTATTCTTGTGTTTGATGTGATGAGACAAAGAATGAGACGTTCTATATGAATTGAGGATCATAACCCTATATATAGTTTCCATATGTATTTAATTCATTGTCAAATACATCCCTAATGAATCTGATTTCTACACATATAATCTGTCATATACTTTATTTAGATGTTATAAGTCCAACAATTTAATTCTTTATTATATTACTTTAATTGAGCTCAACTTTAAGATAGTCTTGTACAGAATTAATCACATATGTAGGCCAACGTGATAAATTACTAAATCCAACTGTGGTATGATCTCTTTGGCTTTAATTCTTTTTCATGTTCATAAAACAAATCGATTAGCAGTGGCGGCTTCTGATATTTCTTTGAAGTGAATGTTGTTTTCTTTCACACTTTAACCCGCGTTGATTTATAAATCATTTATAAATGGTCAAACTTCATTTTCAACCATACATTTGAGTGAACTCACAAGTACTATTCACACTCATTTCGTCCTATTTATAAATTAAACGTTCATAAATTCTAGCCAAACAGAAGCATAATGAATGAAAGGTGCAAACTAGATGGTTCCATGTGAATACCTACTAGCATCCTCTGCTAAGCACATTATTGTGATTGCTTTTCATACTTGGATCTCTTAATTGTACAATGCATCAGAATGTTGAGTGGGAGATGAATCTGAATTTTAATATCGATGTCAATTGAAACTGCACACTGAACATAACCTAGTACTCCGCTTAACTGAATTTGGCATGACATTCTTCGTCATCTGCACCTCGATGAACAGAAGAAAAAATACTAGAAAATAGGATTGGAGCGGTTCTTAAAAACATCTGAAAAAGTTTTGCGTCGCGATCTCTAGTATCAATGACATGTTGAGCTGAGGCCATAGCTGAAATTCCGGTTTGAATATACATTTAGGCCCCGTTTGATAAGCCATTTTTTTCATGGAAGTTGGAAAAAAAATTCCATTTTCTTGCTTTTAGCTTGTCTGATAGGCAATATTTTCTAGGTAAAATATTTTCTCAGCCCCCCGCGCCCTTTTGCCTTGATTTGAGGGAAAATGCAATTCCACCTTCTTTTTTTTTGTAATGGAAACAAATTTCATAACCAATTGTAAAAAAAAAAAATCATTTTAATGGACAATTTCCATGTAAAACAAAGTCAAACGAACACTAAACTTTGATAAAAAAATTTCGTTTTTTTTTTTTTACTTTTGGCAATG